ACAAATTAAATTCCTAATTTTAATATTTTTAGGATTTTAATTTGTTGGGATTTTGTATATCGGGATTTTGTTGCCAGGATTTTGTGTGTCGGGATTTTGTGTGTCGGGATTCTGATATACAACCTATTTCACCATAATCCGCGACATTAAATAAACCCTTTAAAATATGCTATTCAAGTTATTTATGGAGTTGAAACGATTTGCGAAGGGGATCTTGAATGTCTTAGATGTTTGGAAAGTTTTGAAAGCTACGGAACCGTTGATGTAAATAACAGCTTATAATAATTTAAAAAATAAATATTTTAATTAAATTTCAGTAATTAGTTAATAGAGATTTCAAATGAAGAATTTGATGATATTGAATATAATTCAGCAATTTAATATTAAAAATAATGAAAATAAATGATTTATTTTACAAAAGAATTAACGTTTCATGTCGTTAATCATATATTAACACCATTAAATGGCACCGAAGGAAAGATTAGAATATGAAGAACGTATGCTTTTAATTGAGGAAAGAAAGGAAATACTAAGAGAATTACGAATTACCAATATAGCCAAAGAGCAAGAACATGATGGACTTGAACAAGAATAATAAAACTATAGCCTAGCATATCGATATTGTATTTGCATTAAATTAATATTTGCGAAAACAATTTATCAATAAATATATATATACGTAACTTACGTATTAATTATGTAATTGTCGAGTATTTTATTAATCATATGATAGCTTTACGCTAGTATATCCGACAAGTGAGTTTGTCTGATGCATATTCTAGTATACGTACAATTATATACGCCATACGCTTTTTTAATTTTTAATATACCTCATACCACTACTTTAGGTAAACCTATAAATTCCGAATCAACTTAAATTCCACAGCTACCTTATTACTTACTATATATGTATAAAATTGGATGTGTTAAGTAATCAAATTGCGTTATTTATTTATAAACATGAGATTTTATTTTGTGGGCAAAATATAACGTATCAGTTTGTATTAAGGTAATTTTTTTACTTATTAGAGTTAAGCTATTTCATGACAAGGAACATTTCGTCTTAACTTGGTAGGATTTACTGTTACAAAACCACGTGAGTAAATAAAAACTTGAATAAAGAGGTTGGCTAAAGCGGAGTTAAGGAATATATTTAATAAGCTCCAGAACGAATCAATATCGCAAATTACACGGTGCAACCATTCTATTGAGACTAAGAATTTGATTGTGGTACTGTATATAATTACTTTGAATATTTCAAAAATTCATATCCATCTCTCGTTTTATCATCTTTTTTTTTTTCGAAATAGATTCCATTATGACTGATTCTATCTTAGATTGTATGTTATATTGCATTATCGAAAATCATGTTATTAAACTAGCCTTGAAAACTTTTATAATTACATTATAATATTAACATTTCCTTGTTGCTATATATTTATTCACAAATTGTAGACCAAACTATTGCAGATAAGATTATGCCAAATCTTGGTTATGAAGTTGAGGATTTCCAATATCATACGTGGCGAATCACAGGTTGGAATAATTTAGAAAAGAGGATAACAGGTCCTGAGTTTGAAACTGGAGGTTGGAAATGGTAGGTTCACTTAAATATATAACTTTAATATAGATTCATGTTCTAATTAGATTATAAACTTAAAATTTAGGCGTATTTTGCTTTTTCCTTTGGAAACAATAATTTGGATGTTGTTTCAATTTATTTGGATTTTGCTGATCTGAAAGAAGCACTTGTTGGTTGGCATTCCTGTGTACAATTTGCTTTATTCTTATGGAATCCAGAAGATTCAACATTATCTGTTCCTCATAGTACGTATTAAATTATTTTATCATTTAGTAGTCTATGCCATTAACATTTTATATTCGATTACAGGTGCAAATCATTGTTTTACTGCCGAAGAATCAGATTGGGGATTTACACGGTTTTGCAGTCACTATAGGCTGTTTTTCCCATTGGAGAATCGCACTCGTTCACTAATAGAAAACGATACTTGTAATATTACGGCATTTGTTCGCATTTTAAAGGAACCAAATGGTCTTCCATGGCATAACTTTATAACAGAGTATTTTATCTTCTTTTAAATATATTATATTTTAAAATTATTTTTTCATGCAAATCTTTTCATATACTATAGTTATGATTCGAAAATAATGACAGGATATGTTGGCTTAAAAAATCAAGGGGCAACTGATTATATGAATGTTGAGTTGCAATTATTATACAGCTTAAAATATTTTCGTAAAGTTAATACTTCTACTTGATTTAAAATGAACCTTTTTATATCAAATATAAGGATATTCACTTTTTTTTTTAATTATAGGCGATATATCAAATTCCGACTGAAAATTATGAACCAGTGAAAAGTATTCCTTTGGCTATGCAAAGAATTTTTTATCAATTGCAAACATCAGATACTTCAGTTGAAACGACGGAATTAACGAAATCTTTTGGGTGGGATTCGTCAAATTGTCATGTGCAGCATGATTTACAGGAGTTTGATAGAGTGTTACTAGATTATTTAGAGAATAAAATGAAGGTGGGAATTATTATTATTCATTAACATTATTTTTAAATCACTCGGAATTTTACACTTACTATGTGCCTGGGTTTAAGAATACAAATGTAGGTGATGTCATTTCTAGACTTTTTGCTGGAAAAATGAAGAATTATATTAGATGTGTCAACGTAAATTATGAATGTTCACGTTTTGAAGATTACTATGGTATATATTAGTAAATATATGTATATGTAGTATCTATAAATTTTAAGTTTCTTTATTTAAGTAAGATTCAATTTAATCGCGATAGATATTCTTCTTGAAGTAAAGGGATCTAAAACTTTAAGCGATTCTTTCATGAATTATATTCTTGAAAAATCTTGTAAAGGAAATAATAAATATCAAACTGAAAATTATGATTTACAAGTAAGTCATATTTTTTTCACAGTGCTACTGAAAACTACATTAAAAAGCAATGATCTTTATTATATAATTGTCTGTAGGATGCAAAAAAAGGTGTAATTTTTGAGAGTTTTCCACCTGTACTACGTATACAATTTAAACGGTTAGAATATGATTGTCAAAAGGATACTTTAGTAAAGGTGCCTGCATGTTTTTTTATTATGTCTTCTGGTCTATAATTAAATAGTTTATTTATTTAAAAAAAAAAATCATGCTTAGATAAATGATCGTCTCGAATATCCTCTGAAGATTGATTTACAAAGATATTTATCACCAGATAGTGATAGATCAAAATCGCACAATTATTTACTTCATGGGTTTGTAACAGTGACATTAATATTCAAATATTTATGACTTTCAAAACATATTAATCATATTAATAACCTTTTCATTTAATTAGAGTAATTGTTCGCAATGGTGATTTACATGAAGGCAGTTATTATATTTTTTTAAAGCCAGAAAAGAATGGCAAATGGTGTGAATTTCAACAATAAACAATAAATTAATTTTTAGATCGTAATAATATGTCAGATAACTGAGATTAATTATAATAAAATGTTCAAATTTGATGATAATAGAATTATACCTGTAACTGATAAAGAAGTACTTGAAGATAATTACGAAATTGAAACTCCTAATTCAACAAACGTGTACATGTTGATATATATCCGTAAATTTGTTGTTGGCGTACATTCCTGAACCTGATACGTAGCCCTTAAACAAGGGAATCCTTAAAGAAATCCTGAGCTGCAGATCACTTCGGTTTGTTTCCGGAGGCCGATTTGCGATTAGTAAGTTGATATTCCGAGATGCCGAAAACGAAGTCACGGCATCCATTTGTCACGAGACTTGACCAGTACCCACGACCCAGGGTTAGTGGTAATTTGTTTATTGTTTACTAGTTCGATGGGTGGCGCTTCGTGCCACCAATCTTATTTGTTATTTTGTCAAATTGAAATAATGTTTTCTATAACTAATTCTAAAATTTTGAGAATTAAAAATACTTGAATCTAGTGACCGGATGTTAACTTAATTTCATGAATCCACTGTGATTGTTTATTTGTCGCATTGGTTTAGAATGTTTATGTATCGTTATGAAAAGGTTGGGTATAATTTACATCGCAAGAGAGAAATTTAAATTCTTATATGATCATTGGTTTTTTATTAATTTATAAATTTTGCATTTATCGCTGTTTGCAAATTGATGATAAATTTTGTAGATCACTGCATACCCGATTGTCCGATTGCAATCGATTGTAGGTGATTGTACGTGATTATGTGTGATTTCTCGATAATTTTTTATTTGAATTTTATGAATCTATAGAATTCAAATAAAAAAAAAATTCATCGAATTTGATCAGGTGGTTGCTGAGATATCATCGTTCAAAGTTTTTTTTTCAAAAATGCAATGTTTATCATAGAAGCTACGCCAAAATTTTCTTAAAACTTTGACAAAGATATTTCAGCAACCACCTGATCAAATTTGATTAAATTTTTTTATTTGAATTCTATAGATCCATAGAATTCAAATAAAAAAAAAAATTCATCGAATTTAATCAGGTGGTTACTGAGGTATCATTGCTCAAAGCTTTTTAAAAATATCGTCTAAGCTTTGTCTAACTTTTCCTAAAATTTGGGCGAAGGTATCCCAGCAACCATCTAATCAAATTCTATGAAAAAAATTTTTATTTGAATTTTATGAAATTATAGAATTCAAATAAAAAAAAATTCATCAAATTTGATTAGGTGGTTGCTGACATATCTTTGCTCAAAATCTTTTAAAAAAAATAAACAAAAAATCAAATTTGCCTATTTGTATAATATTTCAAATATTGTGCAATATTGTAAAATATTCAAAATATTATACAAATATTATTATTAAGCTATCTCAGCAAATATTAGACTAATTTTAATAATTTAACTACTATTATAGCTATAATAATATGCTAATTAATGTTACTTATCAAAATTTTGTGAATTTGATTGTTTTTTTTTTTTAGAAGGCAATCCTGCCTTTATTATAAAAGGTATGAGTAATAATCTACTCTAAAAATCTATACAAAGCACAACATCATACGTGACTTTACCAATCACTCTGAACCAATGATAACGCGATGGATGAAAACATTATGCCAAAGCATGTAACACCAAATAAAGGAAACACATAAAAGAATTGGAGGACCCGATATCATTGTAGAAATAGATAAGTCACAGTTCTACAAACAAAAGGATGAAACAACAATATGGGTATTTGGAGGAGTAGAAAGAACACCTGACAAAAAGTTATTCGCAATAACAGTTAAGGATAGGACACAAAATATATTGATATACTATATTTGGAAACATGTCTATCCGCAATCAGTAATTTACTTGGACATATGGAAAGGCTATCATAATATTTATGAGAAACTTGGAATGCAACACCATGCTATCAATCACAGCAAAGGTATGACCGAAACAGACTTTGACCCCATAACAGGACAAATTAAAGACATGCACACCAATGGAATTGAAGCAACATGGCACATGTTGAAAGACACGATACCACCAAGAAGTAGAGATAAGAAAAACTTGCAACACACCTAAATGAGTTTATCTAGAGACGCCAAAATAAACAAATAAATATTTGGGATGCATTACTAGAATGTTTATGTGATACCAATTATATAGATGATCTACAATCAATAAGTAATACAAATTACTCAGACGATAAAGATGAGACAACTTCATTGAACCTTTAATAAAGATCCAAGATAAGAAATATCTATAAAAAAAATCTCTAAACTATGGAGAAGGTTATCCAAAACATATCAGATAAACCCAACTACACCCTGAATTTATAATCACAACAATGTCTCAATACAAATATTTTTATCCTGCAAGTTACAAAAATGGCAACTATTGTGAAAAATGCCAAGAAGTCAACCCCGAAAAAATGGGATGACCACATTGAAGAAAGACATAAGATCCTAGTTCAACAGATAAGAGAAGAAGAAGCTTGGAATTTTGTTAAAACAGTGAAAACAATTGAAGAAGCTGTCAAAGTCACTAATCAAGAATTCAAAAGAATGAACATCACCAATGGAACCTTTGGAAAGGAAGAAAATGATTTATTTTACTTTGAAGTAGAAGAAGAACCACACAATTAATGTGCCTGGTGCATAAGAATTATTACTAGAAATATCCAAGCTCATAAAGAAGAATGTCTTTCTAAAAGAAAGGAATATAAGAGGCTTCATGACCTCGAAAATGCTAAACAAAGATATAAAAACTTTGCTGAGAAAGTCAATTAGAAAGAAAATGTTACTAAAAGATGTAACGAATATGGAGCATTGACTAATGGAAACCATAATTGTAAAAATAAATTCTCTACACCAAAAATCAACCTCTCCCAAAAATGATTTAGAAGAATTGAACCTCCCGAACAACTTATACCGGAAAACCAGAATTTTGCTCAAATATATCACCAGCAAAATTTATTTGTGAAATCTGTAATGAATCAGGACACTCAAACAGGAACTGCCCAAAGAATGAATGCTAGAAATATCACAAGCAAGTACATCAAGTAAGAGATTGTAAAATGTCTATCTCAATTAATAGAGAAAGAGTCATTTTAGACTCAGACGCAAGAAATGATACAAGACAAGAATCCTCTAAGGATGCTAACCAAAATGAAGAATACTATAATACTTGAGCAGGATGAATTCCAAAACAATTAATTAGAAATAATGAAAATATAAAATGTGGATGTGATGTTAATTTTATTAAAAAAACTAGACCAAATATTTATCATTGTTGCAATAAAGAATGTTACCAAATCATTACGAAAGATTTATTCTTTTTACCAAAAGGAAACTATATCAATGCTATTGATTACTAAAATAAATTCCTTTTAGATAAAATAGTTTGTAAAAGATGTTACCAAGAATATATTGAACACCTCTCAATTTTAGACCAAAGATCTATTAGATACCAAGAAACAAAATTAGAAAAGGGGAATAAAAGGAAGTGTACTATATGTTCTAAAGAAAACTGGAAGAGACATATGGTCTATGACTATGAGTATAATTTCTTTTGTGAAAAAGAAGAAAAAGTAGCATACAAAATTTACTATAGCTACAGACATTGCAATATATCAAGAGTCTAACAAGAATTAGAAAATATGACTAGAAAAATTTACAGAAACCAGACAATGAATGAATTAAAGATTTTTCAAATGTTTTGATTCCTCAAGGACACACCACGAGACCAATGGGAAGATTCTGAAAGGCAAGAACAGCTTACAATCCTACGCACAGACAGAGTTGGAGATCAATTTAACCACTATTCCCCAATACTAGGAGCAGACCTAAATGATGATGAACTACTGAACAGAATCTTCAATAAAGGAGAAAATAAAATGAAAACTTATTCCACTAATCTCACTCAAACAAATAACTAAATAGTCAAGGAAAAAAGGAACAAAAGGCTGCATGTTATGCCAAGAATGTTTGATGTTGAAAAAGATACCAGACTTAATTTTTGGAATCTGTTTAAAATGTTTTGAAGAAATTCAGAATTCATTAACACTAGAAAAAATTGCAGAAAACGATGCAAAAATTGAAGAATGGCAAAACCAAGCAACATATAGGCCATGGAAATGGGAATTTAATCCAGAAACTAATAGTGAAAAAATGATTTCTATTTGATGCAATAATTGCCAAATAATTGACAGATCCATTAAAGAAGTAGTAATGTTTAGCCAAAGATATGACCTATTTAAACCAACCTCAACTAAAGAAGTTAAAAGAAGGATGATAAAGGTAGATGGCATGTATATGAAATTCATAAAGAAAAAACTACCTGACTACCAAATGTAAAAATTATCTATTAGTGCAAAAATTGTAAAGAAATTTCAAGGAACCAATTGAAAAGAAAAGATTCTGGAGAGTTACGAAGAAATAAAATACCTCAGACATCTGTTAAAAAACCAAAAAAAGGAACATCTGAAAACCCTATCCAATTACTTGATGAAGTATCCGAAGAACCAATAGATACAAGAGAAAATAACTTTATCTCACCACCATCTTCATTAACCTATCTACCAGAATATAATTATGAAGAAGAGGAATACAAGAACCAAATTTTAAATTTACTACCAGACATACAGAAATGATACAATTTAGAAAAAAAAAAAAAAGTATTATGAACAAGAAACTGTTAAAAATAAATCTTTTAATATACCAGTACACAAAGAATGATACTTTTTACTAGAAGGAACAAATGAAGAAATAGATAATACTTCTGAAAGTTCTGAAGATCCTTCACTAAAAGAATATAGAAATACCATTTCTGATTTAACAGAGTTACAAAAAAAATTTAAAGAAATCAAATCAATTGTAAGAAAACTGGTGTTACTATTAGCAGGACATTTATTGTTGTCAACAATTTTGAACCGACAAGGGATCCAACGCAATAGTGTTCAGATTCAAGAAAGCCAAGAAGAAATTAAATT